ANNATTATTATTATTATTATTATTATTATTATTATTATTATTATTATTATTATTATTATTATTATTATTATTCTACTCTTTTATTCATCTTTCATTTGTATTGGAATATTTAAATCTTCTCCATTCCTCAATTCATATCATGAACAATCATGGCCATTCTGAAGGTGAATAGCCACATCCGTTCACCGATGAATTATCGCATCCAATCATGAGTTCAGAATAGTAAATCTACAGCTCCCACAACACTTTGATTTCAAAATGAATAAATTCTTTAATTTAGACTTCATTTAATAGATCTATTTGGGTTTGGTTGTTATTGTTTGATGACAAAAACACGTGATACCAATTTTATTTTTTTTTTCTTTCGTACTGCAGGTTTATGACAATATATCTCCGATCTGCCAATACCAATGAGTTATGGTTCGTTCTCCATGAATGAATCCTGATTGTTGTGATATATTCCTTTAGATCCTCGTTCATTTTTCTTAATATATTTCTCCATATTTGACTGGAGTTTGTTTCCATAATGTGGCTGATGCAAAATATATGGCTGCACTTGGATAGTTTCATTTTTGTTGTTAATTATGTTAAGCATATTAGTGAGGGTTCTTCTGCCAATTTATGCGCACGTTGTGCTACAAAATTTCCTGAATGTTTATGCAACGGCTGGATGATACATTTCTTTTGTTGTTCTCCTGCGATATCTATAAATGGCCCCTGCATTTAAATGTACAGCTGATTTATTTATTTATTTATTTCTTTTTTTTTTCTTGTGAACAGTAGTTATATTAGAATTACTTCTAGGACTTTGTTAGTAACTTCTTCTTTTTTCTTTAATTTTTTTTTTCTATTTCCCCCCCTTTTTTTTGGATCTTGTTATTTAGGATCAACCATTACTGCATTTCAGTTATGTGCCGGAGGCTCCATCATATTTTTGTTTTTGCAATATCAAAATGATGTGTTGGGTTGTCACAATCATGCATATGAGCATCGGTCACATATAGTTTTCGCAAGCATCTTATACCACAGAGCATAAATCCTTTAAATATAGAAGCCCCTCTTTCAGTTCAGTTTAACTCAGAGCATGAATAATTCAGTTTCAGATATGATTTTACCAAATGCAGCTGTGGATGGTATACTTACCCTTCTCTTGACATTATACAATTACCTATTCTCACAGCATCCATTGCAAGTGGAGCAATTGTGGGCCATCTGCTGGCAACATCCATTGCCATACTCGGTGGAGCATTTCTTGCCAAATACATTTCCGAAAAACTGGTAAGAAATTGGGAAGAAAACCAAAAAAAATAAAAAAGTGTATATTCATTGATTGGCCAGAATATAACTGTGATGTTTAATAAAAACGTGTGTATGGGAGTAGAGAATAGAGCTCAACTTCATCATATGTAGCATCAAGAATTGGATGAATATTTTCTCCTAGCATTGTCTCAAAATAGTGCAAAATATGATCTCTTGAATAGTATTCCTAACATTGTCTCAAATTAGTGCTAAATGAACTCTTGAATTTCTGTTTGAAGCTGTAAAATTTTGAGTGCTATAAATGAACTCTTTAACTTTTATTTGAAGCAGTAAAATTTTGAGTGTTTCTAGAAATTGAGGATAGGGTGGGCTATGGTAATGATAGTTTTCAATGGCTTATGGTGTTATGCTTCATTTTTTACCAATCTCTTACCCATTTAGCCCTTGTGTGGTATGTCAGGTCATCATGGTATGTAATGTTGTCGAACATTGGGTGGTATGCCGGGTGCGATTATTGGAGTGGGAGATCGAGGTTTATGACTCCTTCAGCCACGAGTCAAAATCGTAGGACTGTAATGACCGAGAGCGTCAGTTGACCCCTATTCGATGACTCATTCCCTCACTACTTCCTCGGTCAGGTTATTCTATTGCAATTTTTGCTCATAGTGATGTTGTGAGTAAGGCTTTGTCGAAGAAGAAGAAGAAGAGGAAGAAGTAGTAGTGGCATTTTCCGGTGCTTTTAAACAATATTTTGTACTGCTATTGACATTGTAGAGTATTTCCAGTGGAACTGCTTTCTTTTGTCTTTGTTAGATGTTTGTGGTACTACATTTGTAGGATTTGTTGAGTTTAGTTATGTTTTCTTAGTTTTCTTATACATGGTTTTGTAGATAAGGATGTTCTCTATCATTCTCGTGGTCGTTCCCTATCATTATGGATGGTTTAGTTATAAGGATTTGTGGTACTACTTTCTTTTGTCGGTTTCGTCATCATTTTCGCTATCATTCTCGTAACACCATATGGATAAAATGGTTGACCTTTAGCAGCAACTAAGTTAAAAAATCCACCTTGTCCCCCCGCAAAAGCATGAAAATTGGTTGGTGGTTGAGTAGAAAATCCCCTTATATAAAAAGTCTTCATACGACAAACTCCCCAAACGCATAAAATTCATCTCCGCCTGTCCATTTTTATAGACATTGTCATCCCAAAATCCGCTATGCACAATTCGAACTTTTTCACATGACATCTATAAAAAAAGATACCAAAGTATTTTAGTGACAAACAATGTAAAAAATACATGTCTTATATATGATTCGATGTATTATATAATAAAACAAATAAAATTTTTCCAACTCTTTGGCTTGCAATGTAACATATATAGTAGGTACTTGGAACAATTCGGCCAAATTGTGCAAGTCAGATTCACAAGAAATTCTCCATTTTTCCAACTCTCCATTTTCATTCGCCATCAAGAAGTGAAATCGATACTCACACGTGTGTTTGTCTCCACCAACAATGTCATTAATCCTATTTAAAAAGTCTTCATACGACAAACTCCCCAAACGCATAAAGTTCATCTCTGCTTGTCCATTTTTATAAACATTCTCATCCCAAAATCCGCTATGCACAATTCGAACTTTTTCACACATCTGTAAAACAAAGATGCAAAACTATTTTACTGACAAATAATTCCCAATAATTAGTAATTAAGCAATCAATGTTTAATAAAACAAATAAAATTTGAAATAGAAATGATTTTTAGAATCACAGAAATGGTTTATACGATTCGAAAACAGAATTCTGGGACCAGAAATCAAATTTCTGGGGTACATCATTGGCTAGAAATCAATTTCTGGGTACATAAATCAATTTCTAGTACCAGAAATTGATTTCTGAGACCAGAAATACCAGAAACCAATTTCTGGACCCAGAAATCAATTTCTGGAACCAGAAACCACAGAAACAAATTTCTGGAACCAGAAATCGTTTTCTGGGCCCCGAAATCGATTTCTGGGTTTAGAAATCGATTTCTGGACCCAGAAATATATTTCTAGTCCAGAAATCGATTTCTAAATTTCTGGTCCAGAAATCAATTTCTGGACCCAGAAACAGATTTCTAGACCCAGAAATCGATTTCTGGATCCAGAAATCGATTTCTACAGAAAGTAAGGAAATCGATTTTTTGGTCATTTCTGGAGGCAGAAATCGATTTCTGGGACCAGAAACCAGAAATCGCAAAAATCAATTTCTGTGACCAGAAATCGATTTCTTGTTCAGAAATTGATTTCTGATACCAGAAATACTAGAAACCAATTTCTGTGTCCAGAAATCGATTTCTGGGTATCTTCTGGTTTCTGGGACCATAAATCGGTTTTCTGGGTCCAGAAATCGATTTATTGGTCATTTCTGGAGACAGAAATCGATTTCTGAGACCAGAAACCAAAAATCGCAGAAATAAATTTCTAGCACCAGAAATCGATTTCGGTGACCAGAAATCTATTTCTGTGACAAGAAATCCCAGAAATCGATTTCTGGGACCAGAAATCAGAAATCACAGAAATCAATTTCTAGCACCAGAAATCGATTTCTGTGACCAGAAATCTATTTCTTGAACCAGAAATCCCAGAAATCGATTTCTGCGATTTCTGGACCAGAAATCATTCAGTGTTCAAGAAATTATTCATGCCCACAGAAATCTTTTTTTTGTTTTTTTTTTTAGAAATGAGAGAGAAAGTTCAAAGTAGGAGTGAATGTAGAAGAATACACGGATGATAAAATTGATGATGAATTTGTGCATTTGTCATTTAGATTAACAATTTTTTATTTTCTTTAAAAAAATAGATAGTAAGGTCAAATTTGTCATTTTAAGTGCCAAAATGGCTAAAAAAGATGTTTTTGCCAAACTATGGCTAAAATTTGTGTTTTACAATTGAAAATGGCCAAAAAAAAAATTCACTGGTTTAGTTTTCCAAGTTTAACCGAGTTTCAAAACACCAATGAAAACGGGAGAAAAAATAAATTATTTCAACTTTTATTTATTAAATGTCAATGGACATAAATCCATAGGAATCGGAGGTATTAGCCCGAAAACCCGTTTACTCTCTCTCCGCGTCTTCTCTGTCTAGATTTCATCTTCCAATCAAATCACTCGTTAAAAAAAGCAGCTCCTCTGTACTCTCTCTCTCTCACTAGGGTTCTCAACTCTGAGCTCTCTCGATCTGCTCTGTTTATAGCATCAATGCTTTTGCCGTAAGCTCTTGCTCTTGCATCTCTTTCTTGTGAAGCTGTAATTATGTTTCTCGAACACAAGTGTGTTAGCATTTTTTGAGCTTCAGCATCTTAGCTAGGGTCAGGCTAATGCATGCGCGAAATTGTAAGAATTATTCAGTTTAGTGCAGGCAAGAAGCTGTTGTTTGATGATCTATTGAATTTATTGGAGAGCTATAACTTTATATGCGTTGATACATTTGCTTGAGTTACAGTAGCAGCTGAATAATTTGAACTTGTTCTCGTATTTTAGTTCTGTTATAGGTACTGGTAAGTTTTGCTCTTCCTAATTCTTGTTCTGGATTGTTCGAATTAGTGGTTGGGTGCTGTAGATCCAGCGTTTTGAATCGTGTGTAAATGATGTTTGGTAGAATTTGTGCTAATTATACGAGCTGTTTTGGGGGATTAGGGCTTTGAAATGAAGGTTCCAGCGATGCTGAAACAAAGAGTACTAAAATGAGCCAGATAGAGGTATCCGAAATGAGGCAAAAACAGCAGCCTGTTGCACTCGGGACTCTGATTGGTCGAGAACTTAGGGGTGAGAAGTTGGACAAGCCGACTGTGAAATATGGGCAAGCTGCACTTGCTAAGAAAGGAGAGGACTATTTCTTGATCAAGCCCGATTGCCAAAGGGTTCCGGGCGACCCGTCTATGTCCTTTTCAGTTTTTGCGGTATATTTGAACTCGGTTGTTATCGTCTATTTGAAGAATGATTTCTTCAACTAGGATGTTTCCTTATGACATGTTACCTGTCTGGAATTTTTAGATATTTGATGGGCATAACGGCATATCAGCTGCAATATTTGCTAAGGAGAATTTGCTGAACAATGTCTTGAGTGCTGTTCCCCAAGGACTTGATCGTGAAGAATGGCTTCAAGCCCTTCCCAGGGCTTTAGTAGCTGGGTTTGTGAAAACCGACATCGAGTTTCAGCAGCGAGGTTATTTTCTTTTTTATTATTGATTTCATTTACTATACATTAAGTAGTTCTGATTTTTTTTTTCTTTTTCCCATTTTCGTACATTGCATATTGGATAATTTTTTGCATCCTCCGATTTCAGCTGATTGATATGAATGACAATTGACAGGCGAGACATCTGGAACAACTGTTACGTTTGTCGTGATCGATGGCTGGACTGTGACAGTTGCATCTGTTGGAGATTCTCGTTGCATATTGGACACTGTTGGTGGGGTTGTGTCTCTCCTTACAGTTGACCACCGGCTGGAGGAGAATGTTGAGGAGCGGGAGCGTGTGACGGCCAGCGGAGGTGAGGTTGGAAGGCTTAATGTTTTCGGGGGCAGTGAGGTAAATATATTGCTTTGCTTTTTTTTTTTTCATATTCCATGTGTTATAAACCTGTGGGTTCATTTTTACTTATTGCTTGGTTGTTTTGTGTGTGTGGGGACTTTTTAGGTTGGTCCATTACGTTGCTGGCCTGGTGGATTGTGTCTCTCAAGGTCCATTGGTGATACGGATGTCGGCGAGTTTATCGTCCCAATTCCTCATGTCAAGCAAGTCAAGGTTCATAACTTGTCTAGGCAAATGATTCAATGTCTTATTTTTTTTCTTTGTGGATTTGCTGAAAATTGTGAAATTTATTTCTGGGTGTTAGCTCTCAAATGCTGGGGGGAGGCTCATTATAGCTTCTGACGGTATATGGGATGCGTTGTCATCAGATAGTGCTGCTCAGGCTTGTCGGGGTTTACCTGCAGATCTTGCTGCAAAGTTGGTCGTTAAGGTATTATTATACCATATAAAATAAAAGCACTCATGTTTGTTTGTAATGTCTGACTTGATTTGATGTTTTGTTACACTATGATAATTTCGTAAGTTTTTTTCCTTCAATTACAGGAGGCGCTTAGGTCACGGGGTTTGAAAGATGATACAACTTGCTTGGTTGTTGATATTATTCCATCAGAGCGTCCCATTTTGCCCCCAACGCCAAAAAAGAAGCAAAATATACTGAGTTCACTTATTTTTGGGAGGCGAGAACATAACTCCGCAAAAGGAACTAATAATAGGCTGTCCACCGTTGGAGTTGTTGAGGAATTGTTTGAAGAGGGTTCTGCAATGCTTGCTGAGAGGTACCTTTTACATTATTTAGCATTGTGGATGTCCATTTTCTACTTGATTAACTTAAGTTTATTTCCTGCAAGCAGACATAATGATTTTCAATCTCAATTTCAGCTTCTCTAGTTTGCTGTAAAGTTATATAACATTTGTCTTCCCTTTTCCTACTTATAGTCTTTATGTTTGAAGAAACACTCAGTGGACATGCGTAAAATCCACTTTTATATCCATTTAGATAGCAGGGCATAAGTTAGGGTCGATGTCAATTTTTGTAAATAGAATGTATAAGGTAAGGAAAGTTGAACAACATTCGAATTTTAAGTTTTCTTCAGTCTCGATTTATCTCATTTTGTATCATAATGTCTTGATTCATTTTTGTGAAGAGGAAGTGCAAGTGTGTTGAATTTAATTGAGATCAGTTACTAAAGAAGCCACATCTTAATGAAATTGCTGAAAATTTCTTAAATTTGCTGAACATATCAGGTTATTATATGTTCATTTCAGATGTTCCATACACCTGCTCCTGCTCTGCTATTGTTTTTTTTCTCTAGTAAGACATGCAACTAAGAGCATGTTTAGCATTTAACTACAGCCTTTTTTTTATATATTGTAAATCTATCCATACCTCTTATAACCATTATATTTAGCACCTGTCTACTAAGGCTTTTGCAGTTTTTGAATGTCTGTTAAGCTACAATTTCTTAATTTTGTAATATTTTTCCTTCTCCAGATAAAACTTGAAATTGTGGTTCAGTTTTATCCATCAAGAAAGAAAGATGGTTTTTTGGGGGAGGTGTGAAATTTTTGCTTTCTGCCCTCTGGCAAAATTCCTTACTCCAAAACTGCTACTCCCACAAATATAAGCTTATTTATTTGCTTTTGCAGACATTTATAAAATAGGATCATTGGCATTTGTGAAATAAAATGTATCTGTATTTTTCTCAATAAACCTCTTATGTTAGTAGTTATTACTCACCTGTTTCGATTTTTCTGATATTCCATGTCTATCTTTATGGGACAACCAAAGTAGCAAGGCCTGTAGTTGTGGAACAGAGGGAGTATTATTTATGAACATATTCACAAACGATCTTAACAATTCACTTGCTATAACTTTTCCTCTCACCAACCATACCAACTAATATTGTTGTCCTTTTTTACNTATATATATAATAAAAAAAATCACCATTGTTCACATGTCCTCACAATTTTCTCGAAACATGAAGGGAACACTGGCCTACCCAGATCCTATCCAGTCTATAACCTGATACTTTTTGTTTATATTGTTCTGTTTCTCATTCTGTGGCCTTGTGTTCACATGGCGGCCTCTCACTATTTGCCTTTAATAACTAGTTCATCATTAAATTTTCATCTTTTGTCCGATTGAACTCAACTTTCTCCTCCTCTTTGTTCCCTTATAATAATACAAGACACAATAAATATGAGGTTATCCAGTCACTCCTTATATAAAGATCTCTAAGAAGAAAAATGTTGATGAAAGAGTGGGGTTTGAGTTAGTATGAGAAGCAGATACTATTGTCTTAACAGAAATGTACTTTGCATGCTAATTTCTTCGTATCTTTCTCCAGCCCCTGTGATTAGTTGTCTAAAATTAAGCAAATGCACTTACAACCCAAACATTACCTTCTCTCTATACACAACTATTACAAAAAAGCAACGCACTTTTTTCAGAGTATGCGTGTGCTTAAATTCAACTGTAATAATTCAGTGTTGCTTCTATCTACTTGTTATAAATACCACCTGGATAAATTAAAGAGCTCTGAGTAATGTTTCATGTATTATCCATTGGTTTCCATTGTTGGCTTTCGGTGCTATTCTTTTTGTTAACCCACACTTAAAACAAATGCAGGCTGGGTAAAGATTTCCCTTTGGACCCAAATTCTGGACTCTTTAGATGTGCTATTTGCCAAGTGGATCAGCCACCTAACGAGGGTTTGTCCGTGAACTCGGGCCCATTTTTTTCTCCCTCGTCCAAGCCATGGGAGGGTCCTTTCCTCTGTGCAAGTTGTCGCAGAAAGAAAGACGCCATGGAAGGGAAAAAATCGACCAAATCGACAGTTACTGCATGAATCTGGTAAAAAACAATAGTAAATATAAATATGAAAAATTATTTTAAATTTTTTGTGCTTGCTTTGAATTTTCATCCAAAGTGATTGAAGCGGATGTTTGTAAGACGTGATTTTAGCTACCTGGTAGATGTTTTAGGAAAGCTATTTGTACTTTTTTT